CCTTAGTTACAATATCATTATATTAAGTTCAATAACATGGCAGCTGATTGTGCTCTGCATCAAGCATCAGTTTATCAATGCCAACCATTGACTCATCCTCTAAAGTTTACAAATGTAAGCCATGATAATAAATTGCAACAATTCAGGCAAGTTCAGTGAGAAATCTTTTTTTTAAGGTTTAACTTCAGTGAGAAATCATCATTCTTTTTCTTGCCTGCCTATATCATATTGTTCAAAAATAAACAAAGATCAATCCACAGATATTTTGCAGTGCAGAGATAACTTTGTGACCTGGCTTGGTGTTGCTGTTACGGGAACACCAAATCAGTGAGCGAGGTCTAAAGGTGCAAAGGCCTGATGCAAAACATCTGAATACCATCCAGTGTAATAAAAAAATTAGCAAGCCAAAAATTCAGTGGCCATAAAAAAGTTGACAAGAGAAAAGTATCTAACATTGGTACACCAAGCTCATGAATTGAGACTATCAGTAAATAAATAAGGCTCGAGCTACTTGAAATGAGATTGGAATAGACAAAGGGCTAACTATGCTAAAAAACAATGGCATTCAATGTGCAGGCACACAATATAAAAAATAGATGATTAACTATATAACAAGAACGTCTGCAGCATCATGAACTATGGTTGTGTAACATCATGAACGGCGAGCGATGGAGGACGGGCGACGTCAATCGATCTACATATGCGAAGACGACGGCTCGTGTGCACGACTCAGGTGGCGTCGAGGTAGCGGTGCGGTAGCCGAGGACGACGGCTTGGGTGCACGGCTTGGGTGCACGTTCGTTTTAGAAATTTTGAACGCATGATACAAACAGATGTGATCACTTAAGATCGATCATGGGTAATCCAAGTACATGATACATGGGTACAATACATCAGTAGTTCAAATGGAATATAAGACAACACAATAGAATTTCTACTACGTGGCTACATTGATCATTAATAAAGCATGGAACTAACAGACGGCGCAATAAAAAACCCTCAGTCAGAAACGTACTGAGTAAGCAACTCGTCGTCCGAGTACCAATCCTCAACCATAACCCTGTTGCTGTGGCTATGCTCACCTACATTGCTCTGACCTACCTGTCGCCTGTAGTAAGCGGCCTCCGCTTTATCTGCAGCCGCTGCGGCCTGAGTGAAGAACGTGTCGTCATCCTCCTCTGCCTATAAGCCCACCTCTGCTAGAGCGATGAGCTCGCTTAGTCTGCCAGTGTCGTCCTCATCCTCCTACGCCTACAAGTCCACCTCTGCTAGAGCGATGAGCTCGCTCAGTCTGCCCGTATTGTCCTCATCCTCCTCCGCCTGCAAGCCCACCTCTGCTAGAGCAATTGGCTCACTAAGTCTGGCAGTGTCGTCATTATCCTCGTCCCCCTTATCAGACAACACAATCGGTGATTCAACGGTGCGACCAGCTCGTTTTCTGTGCTCATCTAACTTCTTTTCCTCGTACCTTGCATGAGCCACCTCTGCAGCATGTTCCTCGCTGCATCCAACCCCTTCATGTATAAAATGCAATCAGTTAGCAACGTGATTATATTACATTTAAAATCAGACAACGAAAAAAGGCGTTCAAGCACTCACTGGCACATAATGCAGCAACATGCTCGTTCAAGACCTACATCTGTACTCTTGTCTCCTCCCTTGCCCTCTCCTCCTCTAACGTCATCCGCCTCTCCAATGCCCATTTGTTAAGCCCAACATCGTTCGGGTTACAAAAATACCGCGCTGTCTAGTAAACTCACGCATCTTTTCTTTGTGATGTTTAACTAATAGGTTGACGTAGTCAGGTCCATATCCCCTCTTCCTTGCAATTAGTTGCCTCTTCTTTAGTTCATCCAAGAACTTAGCTTGACCATCATAACGTTCCCACCTGCATTTCCTAATGCTCTGTTCAAAATAAATATTATCATATATGTCTGAGCAAAAGAAACAAAATACGATTTCATGTTTACCACAAAAATAACGAACCTCTTCGTACTCAACCATATGGCCGCAATAATGGCCTATTCCAAGCTCCGAAGGGACTAGGTCATAGTTAGAATTAACACCACATTCGCACTTGACTAGTGGTGCTTTGTAAATTAACCTTTCTTTCTTCTTTTGTTTTGCTTTTGGAGGTTCTTCGGACCATTTGTTCTTAGAACCATACAACCACTCCTTACAACGACACTTCGCCATTGAATACACCTAAATAACGTGACATTAGTACATGACACATATAGCTCAATATTTCAACACATACACTTTGCACTTACTTCATGCTTGTTTGGACACATAAACTCCAACGTATTGTCAGGGTTTATTACGGCTCGGTCTCCGCAATGGCACAGAGGAGGTTCCTCGAGTCATCTAACTGCGGTTAAGTGGTTCTCCTTAGCCATCATTGGAGGGGGGTTAGGGGGAGGTGGAACCCACCGCTCGAAGTGCTCTCGTGGATGTCGTCCACTCCACCAATCGTCGAAAAGGAGGTACCTGGGGTCAAACCTGTCTGCACCGTCGATCCACTGAAAGAAAAAACACCTCTCATGGTCCTACACAACAAAAAATTTAAAAAAATATTAGTAATCTAGTAATACAAATAAAGAAGAAAAAGATAGTGGAAATAATTACTTACATTAAAACGACTGCACATGTAGAAGCAACGAGCCGCTGTGTCCGGATGTCTCGATTGAAACACGTCGGCCGGACGACCACAGTCACAATTAGGGACAGGGAGTTCAGGAGGGACGGGGGCATCTTTGCTAGACTCGTCGGAGTACATTTCTCTAGAACGACCCCGTTTTCGCCATAACTGCTCCCGAAACATATCTTCCATCTAATAAAATGGTTCAAATTAAACATCAATCAAAATAACGCAAATTAATATAAAATGTAATCATTTGCGATGTAACTAAAATATTATAAACAAGTATAGCAACAAAAATATACATGGCAAACATACTTCTAACTAAATAATTAACCTTAACATTGACAAAATCAAACTAATATGTTCACCGTAGTTTCCAAATATAATTTTCCTACTAACCTTAACTCCTATTCATAATATCCTATCAACCATTCAAACGAAAATAAAATGTGCGTCATTACCTTGAACTAGGACGAGGAGGGAGGGAGGCGGCCGGGGAATGGAAGGGAAGGGAGGGAGGCGGCAATGGAGGGCCAGGCTACCGCCGTTCGTGGTGGCGGTGGCCGGCGTGCTTGGCGACGGGCGGGAGGAGGAGCGGGAGCGACGCCTAGGCCGCTTTGCTGCTCGGGCAGTGGGACTGGCCGTGGCGGAGGTTTTACCCGGCTCTGCCATGCCATGGATGGATCGGCGGCGCAACACTGCCGCCCAAGATCGATGGCGCGGCGAGCCCCCTCGCCACGCCGTGCCAAGTCACGCTTCGTCGCCGCCACGTCCAGTCAGCTCCGCCAAGCGCCACCATGCATGGCGCGGCACAGGCATTTGGCCACGCCAGGGAAATAGGCGCGGTCAAAAGTGTTAGTTAAAAAAACCCGAGAGTGTTAGATTTAAAATTAGTTTAAAAAAAAGTGTTAAAATTAAAAAAATTTTATTTAGCTAGCACAATCCAAATCCGATACAACACCACTTTAGCAGGTTTGATGTGAAATTAATCACTCCTTTTCCAGATAGGCAGATAACGGAAGTCCATTCCACTAAAAAAAAGAAAAAGATAACGGATGTCCATGAAACTCTGTCCTATTTAGCTGATTCATTTATCTAAAGAACAAGGTGATTCATCTAGCCATCTTTGTTACACAATTAAATTATGCTCACTCATACTCTTGCTCTTGTAGTAGACGACATGGAGTAAGTGTACGGTAACAAAGGGAGGACTAAAAGACGCCGCCAACTACAGATGTAAAGGAATCGCAGATGGAAGTTCAGCGAAGAAATTAGTAAGATGCTCACAAGTTAGTCCGGCTTCTTTTACTTCCCAAATTGAATTCAAGACGTGCATACTCATGACTTGTAATCATACGGGTTAGAATAACTCACGCCGAACGATGATTGATACAGAGTCTAACTCCAAGACGTATTAGATCACATCAATCGGATCTCGTACGTGACCCGGACTCATCAATCGTGCTCGTACGAGTTAGAACAATTCACATGTAGCAATGATACAGAGTCTGATTCCTATACATATTAGATCCCGTTGCAACGTACGAACATTTTTGCTAGTTCAACGCCTATATAATAATGTAGGGATCCAAACCACCTATATAGATTATTATATCTCTTAATCCAAATTATAATAATCATATTCATAATATGGATTATAATAATATAAAATCTATATCTAGACTAATATTTAAGAGTACAATTTTCTACCTCCAAACTTTGGTCTATTACACTCTTTCCTTCTTGTCCATGTGTCCCTCTACTCGTAGGAGTGTACGAGTCTATTACACTCTCTCCTACCACGGTTCGTGTGCATGCTTAATCATCTAATGCATGGGACTGGTGTATAAATTTAGGAGTAGTAGTTACAAAGAAAAACTGTAACTCTCTCGAATGCTGAATGATTGGGTATGTACACATGCTATGAATCATGTTAGTACCTATGGCTACCACAAACTTCTTGAAAATTTTTTTGAGCAATTTTTTGGTCTTGGATTGGATGGACAAAGCTAAATTCAAGCATGCTCACATTCGAGCCTAGATAAGTTTCATGGCCTTTCTTGGGCCAAGCCAATGCAGTCTTTCCGAATTGATCGGCAGCCCGTTTGGGTCAAAAACGTGCGAACCAAGGAATCAGTCTCCAGTTCCACCCGAGGAAGCAGACCACGCCTTTCCCGTGCGCCGTGCTATCCTCGCCGCTGCTGCCGTTGCCCGCCGCCCGCCACCCATCTAGGTCTTCCACCGCCATCGCAATCTAGTCTATACAGCGGCGCGTCCGCGCGTGTTCCCCGCCGCCGTATGTGCGTCCGCCTCTTCGACAACCTGGACCGCCGGTACCGCACTCGTATCCGCTCCCATGTCGTCGAGGACGACCGCGGGGTCCCGGGCCGCCCCTGGCGGCGGCGGAGGCCGGAAGAAGGCGCCGGCTAGTGGCACGACATCAGCGCCCAGGCACATGAGGATGATCCAGGAGAAGCTGGCTCGCGCGCGCGAGGAGGAGCGGCGCGCTGAGGAGAGGCGCCGGGAGGAGGAGGAGCGGCGCGCGGAGGAGGAGCGGAGGGCGAGGGAGGAGGCAGAGAGGCAGGCCGAGGTGGATAGGAGGCTTCGGGAGGAGAAGCGGCGGAAGAGGCAGGAGGAGGCCAAGAAGCGCGGGGAGCGGGAGGAGAAGCTCCGGATGGAGGCCGCGCGGAGGCGGCTTTTCGTCGCCGTTGCTGATGCCACCGGCGGTGATGGGTGTGGTGGCGCGTAGAGAAGGCCCGTGTATGAATCAAGGAAGTCTAAATCGGTGCCCAAGCAGCGCCATGTGAATGTCCAATCTGAAATTGAAACTGATTTGGGAGAAACTTTGGGGTCTGAGGACCAATTGCAGTACGAACAGAGCAATGCGTCGCTGGAGGATGATGGAGTAGTCGTTGATGTACTGCAATTGGGGGAGGAACAGATTACACAATCATCTTCGGAAGAGAGCAATGAAATCGACGAAGATGATACTTGGGAGAACAAGAGCTTCGATGGATTTGATTCCCTATTGCATGGTAAATCTCCCTCTTTTAGAGGACTGAAAGAGGAGCAAGCAGAGGAAAAGCAGGTGACCTCTGCTGCTCCAATTTCTAACCCAATCAGTTTATTGGAAGATATTGGGGAAAATTTGGTCTCTATCCTTGAGGATGAAGGTCAAGGTAATGGGGTTGACATGGAGCTTCGTGCACCGATATGTTGCATCCTTGGGCATGTGGATGCCGGAAAGACAAAGCTGCTTGATTGTATTCGGTGAAGCAATGTGCAGGGTGGGGAGGCTGGAGGAATCACGCAGCAGATTGGTGCCACCTACTTACCTGTTGAGAATATCAGGGAGAGGACCTCCCTTAAAGCTGAGGTTACCATCAAAGTTCCTGGCTTGCTTGTAATTGACACCCCGGGGCACCAGTCATTCAGTAACATGCGCTCGAGGGGATCAAGTCTGTGTGACATTGCTGTAGTGGTTGTTGATATTACACGTGGGCTTGAGAAGCAGACCATGGAATCCCTTGATCTTTTGAAACACCGCAATGTGAGGTTTATTGTTGCCTTGAACAAAGTTGATCGGCTATATGGTTGGAAGACCTGTATCAATGCACCAATAGCAAAAGCGCTTAAGAACCAAACTGATGATGTACAAAGAGAATTCAAATGGAGGGTAACTGAGGTAGACATGTTGTCATGTTCATTGATTTATTATTACCTCTGATCAATTGGATTTGATTCATAAGTGGTTTATTTAATAGGTTATAACACAACTTATGGAAAAGGGTTTCAACGCTGCCCTGTATTATGAGAACAAGAAGCTGAAGCAAGTGGTCAATATTGTCCCAACCATCGCTGTAAGGTATGTCAGCTATATGTTTTGTTGGTTGCATTATTAAGGCAATGCTTTGTATGTTTTCTACACATTTGTCTTCTCTCTAACTTATACCATAATATTCTCCAGCGGTGAAGGCATTCCAGACCTACTTTTGCTTCTGGTGCGATGGGTGCCAAAAATAATGATGGAGAGACTGACATATGTCAATACTGTGCAGGTCTGTTCTTGAGGACATTTTTGCACTATAGTTAGTAATTCTTTTGTTTGTTGAGTTATGATGAGTATGAAAATCTTTTTTATGAAGGGATTGTATCGAACTGAACTAAAGTTACTGATTTGTTACTTGGATCATTTTTTATTTGAGCGTGTTGGTGATTTTGTTGCCATATTTATTTCAGTGTACTGTGCTGGAGGTCAATGAAGATAAGGACATTGGAACAACAATTGATGTAGTGATGATTAATGGTGCACTTCGGAAAGGTGATGGAATTGTTGTCTGCACCAAACGGGTATGATTTATTGAGTTTAAAATTGAACATGCACCATCCAAGAACATGCACCATCCAATGTTGCATCTTATCGGAGAATTTTTTTTCATTTAATCTGTAGGGGCCTGTCACAACCAATATAAGGTACTTGTTGACTCCTCCAATGAAAGAACTCAAAGTTAAGGTGAGTAGATGAAACCATTTTTTTGTTAATGCATGTTTTCCTTGGTTGCATATGTAGGAGTTAATATCCTTTATTTATTTATTTATTTGTTTGTTGCCATCAGCTGTCCGTATCCAGAACTTACCCCACGTATCTAGTTGTTAAGATTTTCAAAATCTTCTCGACATAAGCATTAACACTTGCAGTGTTATAGTTACCGTCAACAGTTAGACTCTAATGTCGTGACTCAAAATTATCTAAGAATGCATATATGCGCTAATCATAATGTTTTGACTCAAAAATTATCTAAGCATACATATAACATAAGGACACTAATCATAATGCTTTGGCTCAAGATCATCTAAGCATGCATATATGCACATGTTATGTGGTGCTTGCTGTGAATACAGACCTACCCAGTACACCTACTCCCAAATGTCCACATGCCTCATTTAGCCGTAAGATCTAAACCTAACTCTGATACCACCTGTGTAATCATCAGATGTTTTATTGTGATGGGTCTAGTTTGTATCAATGCTTAATTTTATATCCAAGATTAAATTTTGGGCATATATGATATATCATATGCATCTGTGAGTAAGGATTTAGGATACGACTTTGTTCACACATCACATTTTGCATATTCCATAATATCTGTGTTTGATTCTTGCATAGTGTTTTGGATGATGTTACATGTTTTTCCTCTCATCAAACACGGTTCATTTTTTTAAGAACTACTAAAAGTAAAAGAAACCTTTGGACATTAATACTTCTTTTACTTCTGGCACATCAGCTGTTCATATATTGTGCGATTTGGATTCTGGAACCACTATTCTATAAGTTTCTTTGTTTGGAATAGTTTTAGAAGAGCTTCGGTGCTTTTATGTTTGTTTGGGAGTAGTTGAACTTGAACTAGGATGCCCGTGTTGGTAGCGTGTACCCATGGGGTTGCCCATACTCGAGAAAAACTACACCATTATACAATTATCAACATGGAAGCAAGCATATGTTGAGTGAATAAGCATGGAAGCAAGCCAATGCCATTGCGGCCATATGAGCGAATAAGCATGTCACATAGTCATAAAAAGTTGCATGCAGCAACTAACTCAAATAGGCAATATATAGTTCATTAGCTCATCATAAAACACTATCCAATAATACTTCAAGTTTTCAACTAGAAGTCCACTGAGGACATAAAGTTCAACTCATCTTGCCACCACAACAATAACTCGATCAAGATCACCAGTTCACCACACATAGTAGCAGGATTGTAACAAAATAGGCTAGGCACAAGCAACCACAAAAATAATAGGCTAGAGGATGAGTTTTTTACATAGTTTGAACTGAGTAGAAAATACCCATGGATTTGCGGGTTTGGGTACTATACAGGCCATACATGTACCCACATATCCGATGGATATGACATTCTGCCCGTTGTAAAACACATTGGTTTTAGGAATTAATCTATGCCCATGCCCCAATGGGGTGAAAACCAATAGGGTTTCGGGTAGCCATTGCCATCCCTGGTATTGTTGTTACAATAGTTGCGTGAATATCAATACTACCCATTGTGTCCAAAAATATCCACGCCCTATTGTCAGTGCAAGTGCAGAATGCACTCACATTTATATCACCTAAACATAGGTGTTCAACAAATCAATCAAGAAGTAATAAAAGAATAAAAGGGCCTAAAAAATTATAATTTTAATTACCATGAATGTGCAAGATTTGTTTGCTTAACTTGATTTCTTCTTCTTGTTGTTCAATAATTATCACCTAGAGCTGATTTCTTGTTTAAAACCATAATTTGTTGCCAAAATAGCTGGGGATCCAAGTTTCTACTCATTTTCTCCCCTCTATGTGATTTTGAACTACCTTGTACCAATGTTTTCAGATCGTATTATCGAGGCTAGTCGTATGACCACCGATCAGACGACTAATCGCGATTAGTCGTCGATAAGGGTCGATTAGTCGGTCCTAATCGGTCTAATCGGCTAGTCGGACATTTAGTCGTCCTTGTGCCTAGATGGCCTGATCGACCATGTATATACTATATATATGGTGTAAATATATGAAAACATGGCCATAATAAATAGGTAAATGTTAGAGGCAAGCAACCAAGCATAGTTTGGCATGTAATCATGTTTGCAATGAATCATTATCATGGTGATTTGGCCACTTACATGAATCGCTGCTTGCGATGCACGATGGTGAGTGCTAATCACTGACTTGTGGTTGAATCTGAAATTACAAAGAAAGAAGATAATCAGTTAAATAGGCAAAATAGCGAGAAAAACAAAATCAGAAAGACTAAAGAAAATGTAAAGAGTAGTAGACAGTGAGAGCATAGCAAAACAACTTAACCAAGTACAAATTTAACAAATAAGAACTAACAGCGATTTAGCACAAGGCACACTTTGTGCCTTTGCGATACACAACATAAGTAAACTAATAAACTTAAGCAAGTTCTTAAGTCTGAAATGGAAATAGTTCTAAACATCCAGGTCCATCGATCCATAGAACCAACAATTCAGCCATCTAGAGAAGTAAATCTGCGTCCACATGGAAGTCTTCATTTCCATCATTTGTTGCAGTCCGCTTTGAGTCTTCCTCCCTCCCCGGTCCTCCATTTCTTCATCTGTTGCACTTGCACCTTGTGGGTGTTCTGGTGCAACTCTGTTTTCCTCTTCTTCATGATCACTGCTTTCAGTTGCTGGTGCATCTGACCTTGGACTTAGACACTTCCTTTTGTTATTCCTCCCATATGTGCGGGTGACAGTATTCCTCGCACAAGCAGCAGGAGCCCTAGGCATATTGCGGCCTCTAAGCTGGTCGGTTGCACCAACAGCTTCATCAACATGTGTCCAAAGCATATCACTGCCATTAGATGCATGAACTGGGTCACAGTTGATGTCTACCCACTCATTTTCCCATTGAAACTCTTCTAGCAGCAATGGGTTGGATTTCTTGCCTTTAGAACCGAGCTCACGAATTTTCTGAAACCTTAATGTCATCATACGGTTGTAGCTAACAAATACCAACTTATTCAACCTAATGTGCTCCAAACGGTTCCTCTTTTAGTATGCACCCAGAGCCATAGAAAATAGGAGCAAATTCATTAGATGGCTGCAGCATATAAGAATTCATTAGTATGCACCTGCAGCCATAGAAATTGCACTTACATGAGCAAAAGCGCTCCAGTTGCGCTCACAACCAGACGCCGAACAACAGAGGCTTACAATTCGTTTTGCTAAACTCTGTAGCTCGAATGAAAGGCCACCAAAAGCATCCCACAATAGAAATGTAGTTGTAGATTACAAGAAAAACAATAATATAATCAGTAGCTCATCACATAGAGAATTATAGCTTAATTAAAAGAAAGTGCTGACTGCTGAACTGCTCATTACTTACTAGGATTTTTGCTATTTCTCTCTACTATTGCTAATCTCTTTGAGAAACATTCACCCTTAGTCCTGTCATAATCATCAGCTTGCTTGCTTATTTTCCTCGCTTCACTCTCATCAGGTACCATCTTCCATATAATGTCATTAAACATGCACCTTAGCTTTGTAGCTTGTCTCCTATCCTTTTCCTTTATGCAAAGTACTTTCCAGGATTCAAGAAGAGGGCTGCTCCATATAGTTTTTGCTTCATCTGGTTCTCCCATCTCTTGTCATAGCATTCCATTACATCATTCAAGAATGATGATTTGTCTCATAAAAGTTTCCTTGATGGTCTTCTTTGCAACATCCATTGCTGCCATTATCTCAGGAGCTGCTGGTGTTTCATCACCATCTGCTATCCTCATAGCAATGAGAAGGGGTTGTGTTGCTTTTATACAGCACTCCACTTTTGTCCAAAATGGTATGGAAAGGATTGTGTTCTCAGCCTGCCGCCCTTCAGCACTTTTTGACAAGCTGTTGGAATGCCATTCCTCACTCACAAACAAACTCCTCAGCCCCTGTTTGTTCTTATGCATGCTTGCTAATGTGAGATAGGAAGTAGCAAAGCGAGTAACAAAGAAGCCCTCACAAGATCACCACCAATCTTCTCTCGCATAAGATCCAGAATCCTTCCATGCTTGTAGAGAAACCTACACACCTTCTTAGCCGAATTAATGCAAGAGCTAAACTCAGGTATCTTCTCAATGTCCTCCATCATCAAATCCAAACAGTGGGCAGCACATGGTGTCCAAAACAAAGTTGGGATCCTCTCCATAAGAATTCTTCCAGCAGCCTTGTAGTTTGATCCATTATCTGTGACAATTTGCACCACATACTCCTTCCCAACCTTGTCAATTTGTTTCTCTAACAAGTCTGCTAACATAGAAGCATTGGCTATCTCACTTGAAGCGTCAACTGAACCTAAGAAGAATGTTCCACTGGGCTATTCGCAAGAAAGTTGATGAGATGACGGTGGCTAGTGTCACCCATCCATCCGACATGATTGTGCAGCCATATTCCTTACAAGCGTCCTCATGCTTCTTTCTCTCACTCCTCTGTCTTGTTCACTACCCTATCAAGTAGTGGATTCCTAATCTCATGGTATGAAGGTGAGCGATACCCAGGACCATATTGCCAATGGACTCATGCATAATCTCCCAGGCTTCTTGAGTTAATAGCATTCAATGGTATTCCATTCTCATAAAAAAAAATCAGCCACATGGTCATCTACAATTTGCTTTGCTTCCTTGCTCTTTGTGGAGTACTCAAGAGTGACCTGTGACATCTTGGACTTGTGCCTTTCTGCAACCACTTCTTACGGACTCTTGCAAAGCAAAGAACTTCTTGACTTGGAATGCTTACGTGTTTGAGGTTTTGGTGGAGCAGAAACCACAAAGTTCGTGATTGATGCTTGAGCTATCTTTTTCGCTTGCTTTGATTTTATCCCAGAACTTGGAACTTGCTTTGACTTTGTCCTAGCATTTGCTTCATTTTCAGCAGCAGCAGAAGCACCACCTCCACCTTGATCTGTTTCTGTCTCCACCCCAGTGTCCGCAGGTACCTGAACCTAAGTCCTTGACCTTGTGACCAAGTAACCATTCATCTCACGCCTAACTAGTTCAGGTGCTTCACCACATTTCACTGCATCAGAATAGTCCCCAGTAAGGTGTTGCTTGAACCTTTTAATGCCTGCAGGGACAACCTTTTTGCAGAAAATACATTGGATGAACTCTTTCTTCCCTATGTCTGGCCAAAACCCATATTTCCATCCAGGATCTGATGATTTTGCCTTCCTCTTATCTTCAGCCATGGCAGCAAGATCTGGTGGCAATTTAGCTATCGCTTGAGCTATTAGAGATGCTTCAGTTGGAGCAGCTGACGACGCTGAGGCAGCCCCTCCTAAGACAGCTTCATTCTCAGGTAGAATTACCTCAACAACTACACGCCGTCGAGCATCCACTGCAGAGCGGCATAGCCACACAAATGTGTCACAAATTGGTGGCAACAGGCAATACACAGCAGCAGAGTAGCAGACATAGACAATAACCTTCAGAGGAGGCAGAGTGGTGGCTCATCTTGATGCTTGAGGCCTCCCGCGTCTGTCCTCCAGGCGTCGAGGAAGGAGCTCAGAGCGATAGTGCCTTAGAGGCGGGCGGAGCTACTGGGTCCCGGCAGGGGAGGAGACAGGTGCGGGTGGAGGTGGAGGCGCGGGCGGAGCTGCGAACGCGGTGAGAAGCGCGGACG